TTCTTCGTTCTGGTGATCTTCCTCTATAACTTGAATTATATGGTGATTGATTTCTTGTATAATTTGTATTGTTCGGGAGTGGTTTTCCTGAACTGTTGTTGCTGTACACAGTTTTGTTCGGTAGATTTTGATCTTTTTTCATGTATTGATAGAATGATTTATTTGGTTCTTTATATTTTTGAGGTTTATTTTGATTGTCTTGCTGTTTTTGTCTACATTCAGAAATACTATGTCCGTATCGTCGGCAATAATTACACCATTTTTTGAAAGATGGTTTGCCTTTAAAGTTTGGGTGTTTTTCGTAAATATTGAGTATTTCAGTGATTTTTTCAACGAGGTCTGTATCTGATTCCTGTATATTGTTGATACTTGTGGTATTTGTTTCGATTCGGTTAACATATTGTAATTTCAGATTTTCTGTTTCTTCGAGTTTCATTGTGATTTCTGCTTGTTCTAGTTTGTCTACTAGTTTTCGAAAATCTAAAACGGGTTCTCGAATTGAAGAAGGATGGGATGCTTTCTTTTTTATTGCTATTTTTCTTAATTGCGGTGTTAAGGTCATCATTAAGATTTCTGTCATCTTTGTGTTTTTATAGTCGTGTGTATTTAATGAATATGCTTTTCGAACTAGTGTTTCGATGCGTACTGCTAATTGTTTGATGGTTTCATTTGGTAATCTGCGAATTTCATTACATAAAACTCTTTGTTGTTGTTTGTTTCTTTCGGAGTCAAACATTTTTGAAAATTCTTGTGTAAACCTTTTCCAATTTGATTTTATTTCTATAGGCAATACTGAAAACCATTTTTGGGCTGCGCCGTCTAAAGTTGTTTGTATCAACGCTGTGCGTCGATGTATCCAGTTTTGATGTAGTGGCGTATTAATTGGTTCAGGTCCTATATTTAAAATCAAATTTGCTGTTACTGCATTTAAATAGTCTTCTACAGAATATTCAGGGTCTGTTCCTGTGAATACCATTAAAGGTTTATTTGATGTTATTGATGATCCACCCATAAGGTATGGATTCATTGTCATTTGTAATGATTCTGCTGCATTTGGTATTTGAGAAAAATTTGAAAGTTGATTTCTTGTTATTTCGTGTTGTTGAAGATAATATGGGAGTGGTATTTCATTTTGCATTTGTGTTGGTTGATACGAGTGTGTGATCATTGGGTTTTGTTGCTGAATTGGTTGAAAATATTGTGTATTAATTGGGTTTTGCTGTTGAATTGGTTGTTGATTTTGTGTATCTATCGGTTGTGGAGAAAAAATTCTATGATTTGTATGTGGTTTCTGTATTCCTTGTCCACGATATTCTTGATTATAGGGTGCAAATATATCTGGTTGTAAAAAATCATCATCTGAGGATAAGTAATCCATTTGATAAGATGTTTGTTTTTTATTTTTATTTTGTTGAAAAAATGGATAGTTTTCACTACGATCCTGTGAAGGATGTAAATTTGTTTGAAAATTTATTGAATTTGTTTGTGCTATTGGGTTATCCCAGTTTCGAGATCTTGTATAATTACTAACATTTTTCTGTGGTTGATAATTTGTTTTTGATGGATGTGTGTAATTATAATTATGGTCTGTAAAATTGTTTCTAGTGAAAGTTTAGCGTGTTTTTGGCGGTATTGTCATGGGTCTGTATGTTTGGTAATCCATGTGTGAATATTTTGGGGCAACCGAAGGTTTAACGGTTGATTGTAAGGTTTCCTGTGTTTGTGAAGGGTTTGTATTTCTTGGTGTTGTTAAATTTGGGCGTATTGGTGAAATACTTTGTTGTGTAGTTGTTGTGTGTACGATTTCTTCATTTATGAAGTGTGATGGTGTCTGGATATCTTGTTGAGTGAGATTTCTAGTTCCATTGAGGTTTTCATTGTGTATGACTGTGGAGTTTAAACTATTATTTTGCATATCAGGTAAAAATGTATTATAGTTTAATGGTGTTGCATCAATGGTTAATGGTATTACTCTTACATAATCTCTTACATAAGATATCGTACTTATTGCTTGACTTGAGATTGATTGTGGGAAGTTTATGAATGTGGGATGAGACCATTCGGGGTCCCAAACATAGTCTGATTGTTCTGTGATGGCAGTATCATCGTTTGAGTTTTGGGGTCTAAAATTTTTTCTTGCTTGTGAAATTAAATCAATATTATGTGTGAAATAATCTATTATGAACCATGCTAAAATTTTTTGTAAGTCGTGTTTTGTATGTTGTGAAACTTCATCTTTCGTGAAATTTTCTTTAATTATATTTAGAAAACTAGAGAGTAGTGTGATTTCATGTCGTACTCTTATATGTTTAGATGTTTCTGTCGGTGAAACATTTGTGATTGGGATTTCGTTTTCTAATATCGAGATATAACTATATATTATTGCAAAAACTTCATTGGTGAATATGGAGTTTGCTCTTTGTGATTTATGATATTGTATGCTTTTTATATATTCTGAGAATACTTTTGAGAATTCTAAATCAAGGTCGTCTGTTTGAATTACAAATTTGCTGTGATTCTGGTTTGGTGAGTTGAATTCTATGGAGTAGATTCCGTATTGTTGTGTTAAGTTACATATATCTTTCAAATAGTGATCGATAATTTGTCTTTTTATTTTTACATCTGGGAACTCTGTTTTACATGGACTAATTCCGGGTTCAAACAAATTTAGAAGAAAATTCTTACAAAGATCATGTTGTCCTCTATTATCGGGTGCATCTACGAGGAAGGGGTAGATATCGTCATCATCTGGACTATCTTCACTTGGAGTGTGTGTTTGGCTCATTTTTTCGTTTAATGACTGTTAATAGGTAATTATCGATGTGTCTAATTGGTTGATTCCAATTATACAAGTGTACTGGTTTGTGTTTATATTGCTTTTTTATTCTTCTTTTTCCTCTTTTTGATGAATTTGAAGTTGTTTCTGAGTCGGAAAAATATAATTGATCGTGAATGGGGCAATTTTTATCTATAGATTCTTTTAATTTATAAAGTTCGTCTAAACTGCTGGTTTCTGATTCTGAAAATGCGTTGCGGTTTTTGGAAAATCTTTTTCGTGTAATTTGTCTTTGTTTGGTTATTATTTTTCTTTTTAGTGTTTGTCGTTTTGTTCTGATATATCCAACTGTTTGTGTGTGTGGTGTGATTACAAGATCGTATTTTTTGTTATCTATTTCACAATTGTGTAAGACGATTGTTTGTTTATTTCCTAGGTTTTTAAATGACATAAGGTTTAGGATGACGGATGCAAAAGGTTGTTAAATGATTTTTATTACTTAGACTGTTAGTCCTTACGATTTTTTGGTTAGCCTAACCTGGGTCTATTTGTTCAGGGTTGGGGAGAAAAGTATATCGATTCCGAAGAATGATTTTATACTTTCTCGTGGCTAGTATAAGCTAAGGTGTTAACTTACTTAATCTTACTTAAGGGTAGTGATTGTGTTCAAGGGTTGGAGAATAGTAAATCGATCCACAAGGTTCAGGTATAATTAGAACGCGAGTAGTTCGTTAGATACTATTTTAAAACTTACTAAGTCTAAGATTTATCCTGGGTCTGGTAAGAGGGGGGATCAAGTGAAGGCTGAATAACCGAAGTTCTTCACTGTTTATCCTAATTTGAATGATTAGTTTTGTTCAAAAATTTCTGTTAGTCCTGGGTTTTTAGAAAGGGTTGGATAGTGAATCGACGTTTGAGGTCGTTAGACACTAGCTAAGTGGGTGGGGGAGAACAAAGTTGTTCTTTTTGATCCAAGGATAGGCCTTGATGATCAAGTTTTAAATTTAATTAAGTAGAAAATGATTTAAGATCCAAGGATAAGCCTTGATGATCTGATTTTAAAATTAAGTGAATTTAAGTTTTAATAATAATTTAAATTTGTGTAGAGAAAAGATTTAGTGTTTTTATGATATTAGTGAGCTTATGAATGCTGTTATGTTTAGGTGATGAAGCTGGAACAACAGGATGATTTATAATTACTAACCATTTATTGTCATGCTACTAATTTTTATTTTGATTTTTCAATAAATATTTTTCAAACATGTTTTGTATATTACTGCAGAATTTAGGAAAACGATCTGAGATCTCCTTATCAATCGTTATTGTATATTAATAATTTGGTTTAGCGCCTGAAATGATTTTGAAGATTGACTTCAAGATTTTATGTTTGCAAATGAAAATCTAAATTCATTGCTAGTAGTATTCTAAATACAAAAGTTTGTGTTGGCTTTTGCCGAACTATCATATAACTATATGGTAAGTTTCTACTTTGTCGTATGTCGTCTCTGGTTCGAGGTCTTCTTGCAATTCCGGGTAGTTCTGTTATCGTTCGGAATATTGGCTCTGATCTATTGAGTCGTAGAGACATTTCGATTAAATTATTGTCGTATAACATTTTGTAAATGTTTTGTCTAAATTCTAATCTATTATTGGTTAATTCTAAGCTATTAAGGTCTTGTTCGAGACTTATGGTCGCACCAGATGAGTTAGGACCGAGGTGTATAACTCATAGAGTAATTTCGGATAGGGTACACCGTCTGCTCGTCACGCTATCTTATTTTCGGCCGGATAGATTCGTGCAACTTCTTAGTCTAATACCGATCCTAATCTTACTCTTATACTATCTAGTCTCAGGTTGTTTAACTAGTCTCTGCTAGGCTCAATAGATCTAGGGTATACTGGTTTATTGCGGTTGCTGAAGTCTTCTTGGAGAGTCAACTAATTTCTAAGTTAAATTCAAATCTCTCTGGTGCTGAAATTACAAGTAATTTCAGCACTTACAAATAAGTGGGTTGTTAGTTAGATGGATCATGATTGATTAATATTAAATACTTTACAGTGGTAAAATATCTAATAAAATGTAGTTTAGATCAGGTTCCACTACCTAGGCTATTCCAAACACTCTTAGTTTTCATACTTTACCTTGTAAAACCCCTTGCTTTACCATAACACTGATTCTTCTGTGAAGTAGGGGGGGGGGGGGTGAAAAAAGCGGCGTTGATACCTTGTCTAGTTCGTCCTTTCGATTCTCGATGGTGTTATTCTGGTCATTGATGAACTGGAACAGTGCGAAGTTCCTCTCCTCGTTCTCGATGAAACGACTCACTATCAACTCCAGCCGCTCGCTCTCACTCTCTTTACTCTCACCTGAAATTAAAACTGATCACAAACTGAGAAAGCATTATAAACATCTATTAAGAGAGCTTCCCAATCAATGACATGAAACAACGACCCTCGCTCCCGAAGGGTTCCACTTAATATGAACTGATTTTGAATTCGCCAAAAATTAAGCAGAGTATTCTTAACGCAGGCTTAAGACATCTGCAACCACGATGATCAATTTTCGCGAGGGGATACTGCAGAGTTTTAAAAACTACGGATTTTTCTACATTTTTGGTTTTCAAAACGATAAAAAAATGTCTATGTTTTCATAAAACAGTAAAAAAGAATCACAGAATGAAACTTATTTCTGAGCGACAGGCAAATTTTTTTTTTAAAATTTTTAAATGCTGAAATTCGCTTTTTGTTTTTTTTGTGAAGGTTTTGACAAACTAGTTGAGCGACCACAATCAATTCATCTAGCCTATTTAAGAGTTTAAGCTTCAAAGTGAATATTCTTACCAAAAATACTGAAAAATAGTGTACCACAAGGAAAAGAATTAGGGTCATTGGTTTTCATACATTATGTCACGATTTCAAAAACAACATAATAAAACCTAAATAAAAAATTTGATGTTTATAGAAGCATCTTACTTAAAGCTAACTCAATAGAGGACTTAAAAAATTGAGATGACTCTAGCACTAAATAAATGCATAAAAAACTTAAATAAAACGGTTTTCACAAAACCTAAAGCATAAATAACTGCTTATTGGGGAATAAACAATTTACAGATTTTGGTTCATAGAAATGACAAAATTTCTTAGCTCGAAAGCACAATCTCGTGCTTCTATAAGGTTTTTTTTCACCTGTTGGTCAAAACTTTGAATGCTACATATGCTATGATTGTAACCAAAGAACAAATCAAATCAAAAATTAATTCAAATGAACAAGGCACGGCGCGGAAAATAATTATAAATAGTACATGTGATAATGAATTAGTGAACAAAATCACAAAAAAGTTTTGAAAACCACAATCGGGGAAAAAAGTTTCTTGCCAAAGCTCGTAACAATAAAAGAGATAACTTTTTCTAGAAAACAAGAAATTTTTTCAACTCAAAAAGTTTTGAAAAACTACGCAAAAACCAACAATTGATAAGTCTTTGGTACAATTAGGGTCTGCTTTTATTTTTTTCCAGCCAATTTCGGTTACCCCAGGAAAACTCGTAGGGGTCAAAAATTGTATGATAGAAAAGCCCTAATGGGATTCTAAAAAGTCTTCAAAGTCGTCTCAATGTCGAGGAAAAATGGTCTGACTATTTCAATTTAAATTATACAAAAACCTCTGAGACGCTGATCTTTCTTCCATAAATTGACAGACTCAATTTAATTCAAATACGAATTGATCGTTATTTAAACTATCATTGTTTCTGATTCTCGCAGTTCAATATTTTCAAGTCAAGTTTTTCAGTGAATTTGAAAAAAAAGAAGAAATAAAAATGTCGTAAAATTTTAAAAACTATTTTGAATTTTATTTTGCAAATTCAGAAAATACTTAATCTGCTTTTTGATATTTTTCTTAACTCGTATTTTCTTTATCTATTTCAAATTATATTTGAAATTGCTGTGGTCAGAAAATTAGGATTACAACGAGCAATTTTTGTCAATTCTGACGTCTATCTTAAAAAAAATCTAAAACAACTGTTTGCGTGAATGAACCTTGCGCAAAAACCCCAGGTAACAAACAAAACCAAAAATTTCGAGACAAAAAAGTACTATCAACTAGTTTTGCATCGAATCAACGGCATGACTTATTTGACAACTTCAGTCAAATTAGTCAAACCGACGAATTGTACATTTTTTTGATCCAACAATTTGAAAAAATGGGGAGAAACTTTGTATTCGGGTGTAGTTTTTTTCTCTTTTTTTTCAGTGTCAAGAAAAACTGTTCCGACATTTTAGGTTTTTCGTCTTAAATCGAGCGAATGAAGCGAGCGAACAGGCTTACAAAAGCTTTTTGATGGCTCAAAAGCTTACAATAGCTTAAATTAAAACATCAAAACTTTGTTTTACTCGAGTAACCTTAGTTCTTTTGAGTACTTTAGCGTCTTTTTGGAATCAAAAACTTCAAAAGATCACCAAAAAATTGAAAAATTTTTTAGAAAAACGAACAAAATTATTAAAAATTCAAAAACTTGTTTCATTTCTTTTGCAATTTTTTGGATTTTTGAAGTTTGATTCAACTTACCCCTTACAAGAAATAAAAATCAAGAATAACCGGTTACTGTGCAAGTAGCACAGAATATTCCGACTAAAATCTTTAAAAAATACAAACTTTTTTTCAAATTAGTGCCATTTTTTTTGGCCTTGCCTAATAAAAGAAGCTGAACAAAAAATTAGAGATTAGGCATAATCGACAATCATAGTAAAATGAGCATACTAAAACAGTTTTTCTAGAAAATGAATAAAAAAACGAACAAAAATATCAAAAAAATGTCATTCATTTTCTACAAAAATTGTTTTAGTATGCTTATTTTACTGTGATTGTCGAATAAGTCGAATCTCTAGTTTTTCATTCAGCTTCTTTTATTACTCAAGGCCAAAAAATGGCACTAATTTGATGAAAAAAAAATTGTATTTTTAAAAGATTATAGTCGGAATATTTTGTGCTACTTGCACAGTAACCGGCTATCCTTGTATTTTATTTCTTTTTTTTTGTTCAAAATTTTCAGTTTGGATGTTGCCTGGGCAGATTGAGGATTTTCAGAAGGTGGGTAAGGGGCTATTCGAGGTCTAACAAAACGGTCGAGGCCACAAATATTTTTCACGTCGGCCATTTTGTAGCAGTAATAGATTGTTTTTATTGCCTTTACCTTCGAGCTGATCATCCCCTTCGTGTCTGTGAGTGGAGGAGGCGGCAGTGATCCTCTCTATCTCCCTGATCGCCTTCTCGTATATCTCCGCAGTGTCCTTCTGTCCCTCCTTCGCCTTCTTCTCACGCATCTCCTCTTCTGCAATTACACAACACAAAATTAGATAGTTAAGTCTCCGCCTCTAAATCGATAGGTCGGATGTTCGAGGCCCACCATGATCCGTACTCGTTGATTGAGGGTGAAGAAACATTACCGAGCCCAGAAAAATAACCAAAAAATTCTATGCAATTATTAAGCAGGGGCACAACAGCGGTTATCCGTGAAGAACTGAACAGCTCGTATGTTGGTCCTTTCCCTTGTGGATAAATGGTCTTAACTTATTTAAGATATAGTTCATTGCGAAACCAAACTGTGTATTTTGTGAACTGTAAGCGGATTCCGCAACAGGCTGAAAACAAATTTGTCGCGAATCCGCAACACGGTTTTTTATCTGATTTTTTTTTGCTGTTTTGGATTTCACGAACAAATAGCTAAATAAATTTATCGCTCAAAATCGCTCTACCATTGCAAAATTTGCAGAAAATTTACTGCTTCAATATTTCAAAACTTTGAAAAAATTTAGATTTCAGGAAAGTATCCGATAATTTAACTCGCCAAAAAAGCAAAAAGATAAACAATCATAAAGTTTTTTAATTTTGAAGAGATATGAAACATGCAAAATTCAAAAATCTCGTGTAAGATATTCTAATGAGAAATAGTTTTGAAGCATAATCGGATTTTTTCTGCTGCTAGACTTTTGATTAAATTGTTTTTTGCATTTCTTACGACGAGTGTCACCAGTACCGATGATAACAAAAAAATTCAGTTTTGGTCAAGTTCCAGATACTATTTAATTGGGTATTAGACTTTTTTTCGTAGGCAACTTTGTCCACAGGACTCAATGAACTGGTAATACCTTAGTTCATAAAAATTTTAAAGTTGGTAGTGTCTCTTGCACGCTTAGCCTGGTCGTAACAAATACGACTGATACGACACAAGTCCTGGGTTCGAATCTCACCAGGACCAGTTTTTTTTCAAACGGAAAATATTCCGGTTCAAAAACATTTCGACCTATTATTTGTCTATTTATGTCTATTTATGTTTTGTCAGCTTAGTTGCCACATTTATGAATCGTTTATTTAAGCTGTAAACAATTCTCTAAGCACTTAGAAAATCCAGCCGAATCGAAATTTTCTTGTCACATTTTGTAATTTTACCAGCTCAATTTGTTCATTTTTTAATCATTTTTTTTGTCTTTAATATCGGCTTAATTAATATCGACTTTGTGGCCTCGCATTACGTCGTTAAGACCGAAATTTTTTTTTGTGCGCGTAAGTGTGATCTGGGGGGAAAAGAAAAGTGACTTAACATTTTTATAAGTTAAAAATTTTGAGTATTTTTTCGGCATGAAGGGTTTCTGCTCAGGTATTTCCGTCTTTGTTACCGCCGCTTGGTAATTATTAATTCAAATCCAATCAACCATCCGGCACATCTGGTGTAGGGGTAAAACAACAGCGTTAGATGGCAAAAGCTTGTGGTTAGAATCCGGCCAGGCCCTTTTTTGCAAACTAGAGTTTTCCTGCTTTATCGGACTATCATCCGTTTTATTTTTGCCGGCTTGGTTACCGTAACTCAATAGTTCAGCTTTATTGCAAATTACTGCAACCCCCATGCTTGAGACGACAAAGCCCGGGAGTTCGATTCCAGTTGAGATTTGTTTTTCTTGCGAATAAAAAATTTTGGCTAATTTAGTTACTGTGGGTCTGCTTTTTTGTCCGCAAAGGATTTTTAAAAACTTGGCTTCTGCATAGCATTCCCAAAGCTCTTCGTAGAGTTTCGAATGGTAGAGGAAATTTTTTCGGGTATTTTGGGCTTTTGTTGCAACTTTTTTTTGACAAAAACGATTTTTTGAATTTTTTTCCGTTTGATTTTCATAACATTCATATTTGTATCGCAAGTGGTGCAAAGCTCAGCTTCGCTTCTGTGTCACAACTTTCATTTAACCACCAACTCCACCGTTGCTTTTGCGACCAAACGGTTCATTGTTTAACTAGCTAGACCTTCATTTTGAGGCGATGGTTGCTAGAATCTCCCATGATCGATTCACTAAATGCCTGAAAATTATGCTACCTTTAAATTATGCAAATTTTTAAAAAGTTGGAAGAAATAAGCGCAAAAATCAGTCAGTTTTTCGAAGCTTAGAGGACGTTGATTGGCTGAAAAGTACCAGTCAAACAAAATCTTCGGCCCTGAGAACCCCATCCCCCATTATAATTACTGAGTGGTTCGACTCTGTACCCTTTTTCCTCTTGTGCTGTTTGGTGAACTCGTCCTCCTCCCTCTCGCTCTTCTTGATGTCCATGAACTGTCTCAACTTCTTCTCGTGGTCAATACTCCTCTGCAGCTCCCGCATCTCACTCTGGTGCGTCGCCTCCTCCTATTACATCATTATTACATCATCATAATCATCGTCATTATCACAACATTCACTTAATTACCTCAGGATTACGTCATCCCATTTTGTATGACATCATTTGTAAGGACCCACATAGCCCTCTATCAGATGTGCAAAAAAAAACGAAACAAAAAAGAAGTCAGAACCGTTCTCAAAGGTGTCAAATATGCAAAAATGGTCAAACTTTAAGCGCCAAATTGTCCTGTGGCACGTGAAACTCGAAGTGTCTCGGAAAAAGTAAAACGTCAGAAGAATAAGGTCAACTTTTTTGTCCAGAAAAATATCGGCAATGGAAATATGTTTACAGAAGCATCTGTCAGCATTGGAGTTTTGCCAATGAGGCAGTCCCAGATATACTTTTTTAAACTGCAAACTGCACTTTTTGCCGTATAAACTTGATGTTTCTGTTAGCTGTTGATATTTGACGGCGGGTAAAAGTCGATGATAAGCTAGGGGTCCAGCTACAACTGGAGGTACCTGTTTGGTAATTTTTGATTTTGTTGTACTGATGCGGGATGAACTGTTTAAAATGTTTGAAATCGAAGTTTAAATATTGGGCTTCACCCAAGACTTAAGCTGTTGCTCTATTAAAAAGTCAGTGAAAACTTTTGTTATTATGGAATTTTCCCAGATACCTAACTTTTTTGTACAACTTTTGAGGTTGATCATCTTATGCGCGGATGCTTCCCACATTTTGTTGCCTCAATTAAACCCTTGATATCAGATTGAGTTGCTTTCGGAAAGGCTTAAATATTTCAAGAAACGGACAAAAAATCAAAACATCTAAAGGCCATAATTTTTTTGTTCGAAAATTTGGACGTAAGCGCTTACACAGTGGAGCTTCGCTCAACCCTTTCTTTTGAGTGAACCCAAAATCTCAAATTTGGGATGGTAGTTTTCGAGACAAGTCAACAAATTGCAAAAAACGGTTAAACAATTTCATAATTTTCCGAGGGCGTAACTCTTTTAATAAAAAAATGTGTGCTAGCCGATCATGCAGAGGAGCTTCCCTACAACCCGTCTTTTCGTTGGGAATCAAAAACTCATATTTGGGAGGGTAGTTTTCGAGAAAAATCAAAAAATTTCAAAAAACGGTCAAAAAATCGAAAATTCGAGATTTGGGGTGGCCATAACTTTTTGCTTATAGAGAAATTGGTAGCAGCCGCTTATGCAGAAGAAATTCGCACAATATGTTCCATCCACAGAAACCACAATCTCAGATTTGGGTCGGTAGTTTTTGAGAAAAGTCAAGTTTCAAAAAAACGGTCAAAAAATGGAAAATTTGACTTTTACGAGGGCCATAACTTTCATTGTAAAAAAGTATAGATGTAGCCTAAAACAGGGGAGCTTCACACGCCTCGTTCTCTCTGCTGAGCCCAAAATCTCAGATTTGGGAGGGTAGTTTTTGATAAGAGTCAAATATTTTCAAAAAACGGTCAAAAACTCGCTATTTTGTCATTTCTTTTCAATTAAAAAAATATGGGCGTAGCTACTAATGCGCAGGAGCTTCCCAAAACGTGCCCTTATGATTGAAGTCAAAATCTCAGATTTGGAAGGATAGTTTTCGAGAAAAGACTTCCAGGGGCCATAACTTTTTGCTTAAAAAACTTGAACGCAGCCGCTTATGCAGGAGATCTTCCCACAACCCGTTTTATCCATTGAACCTAAAATCTTTGATTTGGGAGAGTATTTTTTGAGAAAAAATAAAAAGTATGTGGGGTCAAGATTTTCCCTCACATACTTTTTCGAAGGCTTTAGAAAGTGGGGTAAGGTTTAAAAAAGACTAGAGACGCACAGGGGAGTAGGCAGACTTTCCATTGGTACCATTGAAAACAGGTGGAGTAGTGTTTGAGAAAAACTATTTTTTTTTCAAAAAAGCAAAAATTTTTTCCAAAGCGTCTCAAACAAATTTTAAAAAAAACCATCTCATACATTTTTATAGTACCTGTTTTTATCGAACGGAATTGGTGATTATTGACCGCGTGTGTGATAGTGTGTATTACCTTGTCGGCCTTCTCCTTTCCAGATATGATTTTGTTCTGGGCCTCCTCTCTCTGGTCGTAGGCCTGGTTGCTCTGGTCGATGATCCTGCCCATCTCCACCCGGATGGCCTCGTTGTGCTGCTCCAGCTTCCGGTACACTTCCTCGAACCTGTTCTTCTCATACCTAGCACTGTCCACTTCCTTCCTCAGTCTCTGGTTGTCTGCCAGCTGGCTGCTGAACTTCTTCAGGGTCTGAAAAACGTGTGAGGTGTGAATAAAACAGCTGAAGTAAGATCAAACCGGAAATAAAAGGAGAATATGAATTTCGGCTTGTATTCATTTAACACTTGAAAAAGAACAAGTACTATAGCACGTGAACACTAAATGAAATCAAGTTCTTATTGCTCAGCTTTACGAAGAAAAAAAACGCTTAATCAACGCGCACCCAGAGGATCGAACTGTCAACCCATGAACTGTAAATTGATCACTGACAGACTATGAAGACTGGCATAGACTAACATTATCTAGTTTATTCTCCAGAGTGCGTATCTGTTTAGACGTTCTCTGTCTGGCTCCCTCACTCGATCCAGAAGCTCCTCCGGACGCCTTCAGTTTCTCCCTCAACTCTTTCTCGGCTCTCTTCAATTCGGCGTCCAGTTGTTTCTCCTCGTCCGCCTGCTGTTTAATTTCATCCTCGGTCTCGTCTCGCTCCTCCACCAACTGACGAAGTTCTTCACTTTTCTTTTGGTCTCTGAAAATTATTTAAATTGAAAGTTTAAGCTTCTGCTTCTGATTTTTTTGAATCTGCGGTGAAATGGATTAAGCACACATAAGGACAGGATAACTATTTAAAAAACTACCCATATGGAATCGCAGTTTTCCAGATTACCTACCAAAAAGCTAACCAATTAACTAAACATTTGAGTGATAAGCTTAATTAGCTATATCGTTTAGAAACAGATTTTCGGGAACAACAGAAATTTTTCTTTCGTTTTTTTTTCAAATAAGTGACGTTTATAGTGCGTGGTGTGATTAGAGAACTATACAAACGCATATAAACTTAATGAAATAGGCATAATTTCAAATAAAACCAACTTTCAACCAAAAGTCTAATAAAAAGTATTTTCATATTCAATTCATTAACATTTTTTATACTAAACTAACTAATTTTGTTTAAAAAGCAAGAAATACTAATGATAAAATAAGAACGAGCTTGTAAACCAAATTATAATTTTAGACAAAACATACAAAACATTTTGAAACTTCTTCATGATTCTATTTTGTACACAAAAACCGCTTTTTATCAATAATTTTGATAGTTTTAAGGGCGGAGGTGTAAGCAGGTCTTGATTTCGATAAGTTCTAGCTTAAGTTTTCAATTGCAGCTCGAATCACGATTAAAAAGTCTTTCGTATGGTAGATAACAAGACCCCGTATAACGCTTCTTTTTGGTGCCTGTTTTGTTGACAACTTGAAAGTATTTCTACGCATTTTTCAGTTCGATTTTTCGGTTACATGACAGATCCCTTACCTTAAGATCCCAAACTTCAAAACAGCTTAGACTACAATTGAACTTGAAAATTCAAAGTTCAATTGTAGCAATACTCAAAGGGCCGTCAGGCCCCTACCCCCAACCTAGCGTCCCGTAAATAAGAGCAGTTGCTCTGGGATTAAATGGCTAGAGACAGCTTTTTCGAATGCGAGTCGTAGTATTGCGTTTCGGCGTTCTCCGGGAGGGTGCAAGGAGACGTCTATAAAAAAGTTGATCAAACAAATTTAAATTTAGGATAAATTAGGCAAAAACTAAAACAAAATTTAATAGGTTAAATGGGCAAGTGAACGGATATGAGACAATAAGTTAGAGTCTGTATATGAACTTGTTATCTGTTGAACTTTTTTATTCAGATCACGGTACTTCTTCCGGGATAATTTGATAGTGCCGCTGGATGCCTTCAAAATGTTGAATTTTGATTGGAATCCGGCCAAGGAATCCAGTTGAATTTTTTTCGAGAAACGTATATATTGAAGGATGGCTGCCTTGAAACAAAGCGGTTACACCTAGATGCCACCCTTCAACTGCATTTGTGGTTCGGGCTAGACCACACACAGCATTTTGATAATGGTTCTATAGAGAAATAGGAAAAAGTGTTTTTCGGCCAATCAAATCCCCTCTAACTTACGTTTTTTGGAAATAAGCAGTGAGCTGGTCTAATTTTTCGAGATCGTTTTGTGAAAAATCCAGTTTGGTTGCCACATTGCATATTTACTCAATGACCAGGTCGAAATCGATTTCCACTTTTGACTCCGGCACAAAACTAAGCGCAGGAATCATATTCAGCGCTAAGACTAGCTCGCTGTTTGATTCGTAAGTCTTTTTAAGGCCCAATTCAGATATTTTCGCATAAAGCTCTGACAGAGGTGAAAATAGCATCCCTTAATGTCAGTTTAATAATTAGAGGTAAAAGCACTCAGCGCCGCAATTTCAAAGTCGATCAAAATTCTTTCCGGGGTTACATCACCGATAAGCGATTTAAGTGCGGCTAGGAATTTGTTATAGGTTGATAAGCGCTTACTGCTGAGCAGAGCGTAGACGCAAGGTGGATAAAACCCGCCAATCTGGATGTGTACAGTGTACAGCTGGTAAAACTGACTTGGACAAATTTTGAAAGTACCGTCTACAAGCCAGGTTTTGTTGTACAATTTAAGTGCATTGAGGTTCTCAATGTCGCCAAAAACTAACATGCGTTCCGTGTCTTGTTTTCCTCTATCAAAAAAAAAAACAAAATTGCTTAAAACGATCGGGTTTTTCGAAATGACGGTCATCTGTGGCAATAGTGGGCAGGGATGTCGTTTGTTTACTTCTGTTTAAAGTTCGCGTTAGCGCCGACCGGGAGGGCAAAGACAGTTGTGTTGCTTTTTGGTCCTGCACCAATTGCAAACTAGCTGCGCTTATCTGGCTGTTTACTGGATTTAATTGATTCCTAACTGTTTCCTTCATTTGTTGAACTAGTTGCCGAGCTTCTGAGCGTCCTGCGTTGAGCTCATGACTCTGCTCGTTGCTCTGTGATTTTATATCGCTCCCAGAAGTGATTAAAGTTTTCAGGCCATTTACACGATCTCCATTTGCTGCAGCGCCAGTGTGTCGTTGTTTTCGTATCACGTTTCTTTTGAAATTCATGGCCATCAAGAATAATCAGTGTTTGGCCTTTTTGTGAGGTTCCGCAAGTAAAAGAATTCATTTTTGACTTATCAATGAGTTAAAGAGGGAGATAATGAAAGCAGAGTGTATACATTTTCAATTGAGTTGTTCTAATTCAATGTCATATTAACACTAAATAAAACACATGTTGGCGCTATGTTAATCCCAACAATGAGTCCAGTTTAAATTAAGTTATCTTAAATTTGCAATGTTTTTTAATAGCGCGAACCTAATTGAGATATCATCACACTAGACTTATTTCTGCTTACAGTTTGATTATGATTTTTCTTCATAATTCATGGGATCTTTTTAATTGGCATGGGATTTTATGGTATGGGCAATTTTTGTACAAGGGATCTTTTGGTATGGTATCTTTTGTCATGGGAGCTTTTGGTATGGTATCTTTTAACCTGACACCGATTATTCAACAGTGAAAAACCCTAAATGCAACCAAAAAATGATTTCGCTAATAATATTGAACAATTTGAATTGAAAAAGCAAAACCATTCAAAAAAAACTGGATAGCATGAAAGAAAACAGAGGGTAATAAAAAAGTCAAAAAGAAATAATACTAAGTGAAGAGCTGAAGCAATTTACTTTCGCTAATTTAAATTTAAATCTTCTAAAAAGTGGAGTCAATGAGTCGCTAATCGCTGATAGAAACGCAAATTTTCAGGCTAACAAAAACTTTATGTACTCATAAAATTTTTAGACGACAAAAAGCTAAATCTGAAAGAAAAAAATGGAGAAAAAACACTTCTTTTAAAATGGAATTGGGGTTTTGAGTATATCCACCTGGCTAATTTCACAAGTATAAAAGACGTAAGGCAGAATCAGGATGATTTAAATGAACTAGTTGATTACAGGAAGAAAAATTCGTACCTGCTTTAACACTGGCTAGTAAAAAACAACAACCCAGAGGCGAAGCGAAGCTTCACAAATTATGCGGTTCAATTTCCTCGCATAATCAGGTAGCCTAAATAATTATCGGAATGAATCAAGTGATTCAGCATACTAAAGCCCTTTCAGTCGTGCTTTGAATGACCTTTAAATATTTCAAAACAAATTTCCGGTGTCTAGAAAAACCGGTTTGAAATTTTTGATTTTCAGTCTTATTTCGAGCGAATAAAGATTTTTCGTCTAACTTAAGATAAGTTGCAGTAGGCTTATAATTGTTAGTTTTAAACCTAAATTAACTAAACAACTGTTACGGTGTTTTACTCAATTGAAATTAGTTACCGAAAAATATTTTAGCGTTTTCCTGGAAATGAAAATTTAAGAACTATAACAAAATTCTGCAAAAAAATTGAAATTTTTTTTTAGTTAACCAGCTAGAGGCCTAACACGAAGGTTAAAAATTTAAGGTTCACTAAGCTATAGCTATCATACAAGACATCGCCTTGTAAACTGCAGCGCACGTGCGAATTGAACCCGCAATCATATAATTGCTGGGCACCATCGCTACCGATGCGCCACAATGCCACAATTTATTTTTTAATTTTATAAATATTTTATGAGGAAAATTGTTGTTAAATTTACCTAATATACTTATACTAATCAAGTCTAGGCATTCATTTAGATTCTATCATCACAGCAAAAACAAAATACTTGCACAGCAACCGGCGATTCTTGTTGAGTTTTGAGACAGCCCATACATACGATCTATGGTCTCGTAGCTATGATTCATCGACTTTGTTTAGCGATTGGGTATGCAATCCAAAACGTGTTGGCCAGTGAAAATAAAAGTTTTCTTTTCATTTCGTTAATTAGAGAACAGACTGAGTGAGTACCTGCTCTGGTTCTGGTCGCTCTCAGCCAGTTTGAGGTTTTTTAAGTGCTCTTCTCTCTCCGCTTCCAATAGTTTAATTTCCCTCTCCTGGACTCTGATTCTTTCCATTGCGTCATGCTGGTAGGCAGTTCGATCCTTGTCGATAACACGATGATGGTTGATCAATTTATTCAACTCTGCCTCCACTAAAAAGAACTCTTTGGCACTATTAAAAAAATAACCAAACAAAACATTTATCAGGAAGCAAAAGTTAATGTAAAATTCAGCGTAAGCAAACACTAATTTGAAAATCTAATGCTTATTTGTTCACATAAACACGAGAAGCACTGTTCTGCACTATAATGCAACAATAAGTTGTCTAAAGGAGTTTATCGGACATTGAAACAGCTGGAAAGAGTTTTGAATTTCGTGAAAAAGAGTCTTACGCATTTGATCATTTTGATCATCGGCATCACTTTTTCCAGCAGATCGTGGGTGAGGCATATTTATGGTATCTGAAAAAAAAACGGGACAATACAGATCACGGAAGCCAAGAAAGCAAAAAAAGAACTAATATTATAGCGGAAATCGGTGACATGTTACAATTGTCGGAATTTTGAGTTTAGTGCATGTATTAAATTTGAAAACTTTAATGCATAAAATAGTCATTTCATTTTCACTCAACTGTACATGCTGCTAAGATAATTTTTGTTAATACATTACTCTGCCACATGAATTTTATTCAAAAATTCAATTTTCACGCTTCTTTCCCCAAAAAATTTGGCTTTGAAATAAATTATAAATACTGTTCGAAACTCAATAAGTAACGATCCAGTTATTTATTGTAAAAATCACCTGGAAATCTTTTCCACAAAAATGAAAATCAACTTTGAAACGCATTCCATGCGAGAGTAACGATACAACAATACATAACAGGAATGCCAATTTTATCAGGGTACAAAATTAACATCAAGTGTCTTTCATTACTCCCTCCAGTCAAAAAACGTTGAAAACGAATAGCTTCGAACGTATAATATTCAAAGTCGAAATGATATTTTGAACACGGAAGCGAAGCCAAAACTCGCATTAATGGTGACTAAGAAATTTATGACACGCGTTAAAAAATTTTGACCGTAAAAAACTGCATTACCTATTTCTCATTTTTTGAAAAATGTTAGAAGTATTTGAAGAGTAGCATAATTCAGCCATTCTGTAGCACACTTATGACACTTAACCCCATTTGACAAACTTAATTTAGGGAGGGAATAACTAGAGACAATTGTGAAAAGTAACTCCAGTTTTGAGATTTGGTTAAGATTGACTTTATAAAACTTAAAAAATTAAAACATAACTATATCTGTTGCTTTCTTGCAACTAAGAAGAAAAAAACAAAATTCTAAAGTGGTCCCAAAAACTGAATATCAAAAAACTTTTTGATAAAAGTCATAAAAATCAGCGAAACTTCTTGGAACTCATAAGTTGCACCCAATCAAAACAAAAATATTGTCAGTTATAGTAAAAATTGTTCAAATTACAAAACAAATCCGTGATATGTCAATTAAATCGACAAAAAACGGAAATAAAATACTGATAACAAACTCAGTTTGTGAAGAAGAATGTATTCCAATGAACTTCGTCATCACAAGCCTGGAAATTAACCCTGCACCAAGCGTGCCGAATAGTATGCTGACTCTGAAATTATGTAACTCAAGCTAACAATTGATGACGTGATTCTGTTAGACGAGTAGTTAACCAAAAGAAGTGGTCGTCCGATTCGATAACGCGTGCTTATCACAAGAGTAACTCAACCTAAGATAAAAATTTTTTATCTCAGGTGCTACAGCTAGGTGTTACACATCGCCCAGAAAAGAGTAAAGCGGAGCTTTGCTACACTTGCCTTGCGATACACTTAGAGGAAATTATGCCAACTTAGACAACTGCCAGTGTTGACTTAGCATTGAAACAAAACATCCGCGCGGTAACTTAACCGAAAACAAATTAGCGGGTATCAGTTAGGCCACAAAAATTGTTGCCACGAAAGACTTTGAGCCATCAGAAAACCGAGACTGTGATAATTCTACCAGGGGCGAAGGAATATACTACTGTTACATCCCACAACCGTTGCATCCCAACAGACCACGGAGGATTGTCAAACTCTTCTGGTCGCTTCTGATCTGTCTGCAGAGAGTCCGTAGTGGCTAACAATAAGTATCCGCAGGTATCTACTGCTTCTTCTGTGGATGTCCCAGCTTCTTCTGTGGATGTCCCATTCGTCATTCGAAAAAGGATGTATCGCACATATTGTTTTCCCAGTGTTTTCTTAGCCTCGATTTGAACACGTAGATGTAAAGGCTGGAAATTGAAGGCTCTGGTAGGGAGTTCCAGTCGTTAATGGCTGCTACAGTACAGAAGTTACTTCGATACAAGTTGTTGACTTTCTTGTTATCAATTTGCACGGGTTACCACGGGTACACAAAATCTTTTCGTGAGAGATGTTGCTAAAAATATGTCCGTATTCTTATGTCCGTACTCAATTTTCAAACTCTTCAACAATTTCTGGTTAAAACTGTCCTAAACCTTTCATTCACTCTAAGTTGCTGAATCACAAAACTACGCATAATTGAAATTTTCGACAAAAACTGATCTCTAATATGCGTATGAATCAACTTTTGTAAAATGATACGCTTAGAAGATCACTGTTTGGAGGAAGAACATTGGATGAACAGTATCAGCTTCTACTAGCGCGTTATTTAGCTTTGCAGCTTCATTTGAAATTAATGAGAACATAAATTTTTGTTTGGTTGAAATAAGGCAAGACAAAAAGGTAATACTTTCGCCTGCGCAAAATGTAGTAACAAGATTAGACGGGAATTCTCCTACCTATCCTCAGACCGTTCTCAGCGATCACTGGGCATCCAGACTTTGGTTTCATCAATTCTTTTTTATTTGATCTACTGTTGAAATTTAATTTTTTTTACCCTGATTATATGTTTTCAAAAAATTAACATTTTAAATCCGGAACCTCCCAACCGCGTGACGTCTTGAAAATTCTTAGACAACTCGGTTGCGTAGCCTTATTTAGACAACCGCGTATTCAGACACACTAGAATTCAGACTAATACTGTTTTAACCAATCAGAATCGAGACAAGGAAGAAATTAAGAAATAAATATTAATCATTTTGGATTATTTATGTCTTATCTCGATTCTGATTGGTTCATACAGTATTTGTCTAAATACTGACGAGTATGCACTCCAGTCAACTCTCAATTACGATTCCTGAGCGACCATGTTTTTCAACCCGACACTCACCAGACTGAAAAATTAACGAACATTTCGCCGCTTCACTCTAACGACACCTGACTCTTATTCTGTTAACTCTGTAAAGTAGCAAGCTTTCTTAGGTGTAAGTGGGAAAAATCTGAAAATCTTTTTCTCATTTTCTAGTCATTCTGTCTTTTCAATGACATTCGAAGAACTTTTTTTTTGACTAATTAACCCTCGCGCAACAATAAAGATTTGAAAAAAATTCAAATCAAACTTTGGTAAAAGAAAAACATGTTCATTAATTCTGTCTTAATTGAGGATAGAAATTTTTGTAGCTTTTCTTCGAAAGAGAAAGAAGACAATTTTCATTTGAGACAAAACAATGAGACAAAAGCCATCGTTTACCGCAAAAGCCACAAAAGCAATACCGATTGTTTAAAAAAAAAACATTAAAAAAAAACCAAATCACTAAGAGTGTAAACTCAGGTATTTTGACTGAAGTTGATTCAAAAAGTGTTCTTTCAATTTATTTTATTTTTTTTTCTTCAGCTTTTCATGTTGCAATGAGCTTCTCGTCAAAATTCGAATTTTCGAAAAAGAACAAGGACAAAAGATCATGAAAAAATTTTCTCGAATGCGGTAAAAAAAAAAAAAAAAACGCACGTGCAATATAGTTGATGTTTTTGCCTTTTGATTTCTACATTTTGAAAGAGAAAAATCTAATTTTTTTTCAAGTATACCTACGGGTGAAGGCTTTTTTGCCCCCCATTGAGTAAAACCAAGTCATGAGTCAACAACAACTGACGGAATCTCAGCTACCAATTACTCATGAAGTGCTGATTGAAACGGAGACAAATTTCAGAAATGCGCTAACAGCAAACAAATCGACGACACAAACAAAACAAAACAAAAGTGGGGATGTTGAAAAAAACCCTGGTCCTATCGAAACCATTGAAACAGTCTACGGTATCTGCTCAAAAAATTGTGCAAATCTTAAATTTGTTCATTTGAATTTTCAAAGTATTATTAGAAAACGGATGCAATTGAAAAAATTTCTTGATGATATGGGCGAAAACACAATTATAGGAATTTCCGAAACGTGGCTTAAAAAAGAAGATAGTGACAATTTATGGAATTTCCAACCTAGAACGCATGCGATGTTCAGATATGATAGGCAATCAGCGGTAAAAAAAAAAAGGCGGTGGCGTTTTGTTATATATACCAGTCAAATTGGCTCCGAAATTGAGGCCTGATCTAAATTTATTTGATAAAGAAAAATATGAGTCAGTGTGGGTTGAGTGCAAATCTACATTTAACATTTCGAGTAAAGAAAAAATGTTAGTTAATTTGTGTTATAACCCAAGCAGATCAAACTTTATTGATTTTTTGGAACAATTAACGCTTAACATAGATAATGCTTTTTCAGTTTCTAATAAAATTACGCTTTTGGGTGATTATAACATAAATTATCTGGATAGCAAAGAAAAAGAAAATTTAGATTCTATAATTATTCCATATGGATTGAAGGTTTTTTGTCCAAACGATGAGACCAGAATTAGTTCCTCAACAAAAACTCATATCGACTACATAATCAGTGACTATGAAACAAACGGCATTGAGTTTTGTTTTGATACACCTTATAAAACCGACCATTTTGCTTCATTTATTTTGACGGGTATAAAATGCGGCAAAATTTTACCGAGGATAATTACGACTTTCAATAAGAAAAATTATCAGAAAAATGAATTTTGCAATTCACTCTCCGCTCTTCCTTGGTATCTCTTATATCAATGTACAGACGCACAAAACATGTTCTCGACGATGATTTATTTAATTTCTTGTGCTCTACAGCAACATGCTCCTATCGAAAAAAAGTTTGTTCGTAATTTTAAACCAAAAAACGTGTTGAAAACGGAATGGTTCGATTCAGAATGTCAGCAATTGTTGACTAAGAAACAGAATTCACTCAGATCATATCGCAGTCAAAGCACAAGCGATAATTGGTCAAAGTACCAGTTTTTACGTAATCAAATGAGCAAATTGATTAGAAGTAAACAATTCGATCATTCAAAAAATTGTTTTTCACTTCTCAGCACTATCCAACAAAAATGGAAATATATTAACCAAGTTAGAGGTACATGTTCTGGCAACCATCGAATTACAGTTCTACGAAATTCCTTCAGTGAAATGATAACCCAAGACAAAAAAATTGCCAATCATTTAAATTATATTTTTTCAATTTTAGGCGAAT